CACGTCCAGGTATGGATCGATTGGCTTATCACTCTCCAGATAGACAGACACCACTGCCATCTCCCAGGTCCCCGTCCTCAACTTTGCGACTGCAGTATTTTCTGTTGTTAGGTCGGGACACTGGGTTATGTCAATGGTGTCGTCGAACAATACAATGGCAGCTTTGATTACCCTTCCAGTGTTGGGTTCTCTGTGACATTGTATTACTCGTGTCCCTGGGTAGTGTTTCATTTCTCCAATACGACCAATGTAAGGTTCCTGGACCAACGCGAACGATGTTTTTCTCCAGGTTGCCTCGGTGATCAATTCGGCAGTGGCTAACTCACATCTCTGCAAGTTTGCCTGGATAACGTGATACCGGTGGGTGCCCTGATCGAAGTCTCCGTCAGACCTTGAGACCACCTCAGCAATAAGCTACGGTGGATCTTGCCAAAGTCTCCCATCTCCTTCTCACCGGGCAGTCTGTGCTGAACGCATTGTGGTCGTTCTTGTCCATCTTTGCCTTTATGCAATTTTTGCATGATGGTGCTTCTCCCGATAGCCAGTCGGCGCACTCGCTTTTGAGGTGTGGGCCTCCGCGGTGGCTGCAGACCTCTTGCGTCTCGTTACATATACGCTTGGTGTGTCCGTATCCCAAACACTTTGAACAGTGGACGAGTGGGGATTGATCCGCTACCCTCACTCGTTGGAGATCTATGTGGATCGCTCCAGTCTCTGTAAGGCGGTTCCACAGCAGCGGCGAGACCCTCATTACAATGTGGGACGTATGTGGATTTCTAGTCTTCTTTTTGTATCTTATTTCTATTCGGTCTTCATTTTCTTTTATGTCCCTGAACAGTTGTTTATTTTGGGCTCTTATTGCTTTGACTATTTCGTCATCGCTATTGTATTGCAATACGTCCTTTAATATTATTAGCGGATCTTTATTTTTTATCTCTTCTACATTGAGGTGTTTATTTGCATTCCTTAATCTTTCTTTGACTCGATTTATTTCTTCCTGGGTGCAACATCCCACTATCACTTTCCTGTCTCTTGCTTTCCTTATTTTGTCTATCTTTAGGCCCTCTTCTTTTGCATTTATCACATTTCTGATCTTTTCCAACACCTCATCCCCTGTCTCCTTTTCATCGGTCGATGTGATGGCCACCGAGTGCATGGCCATACTTTCCGAAGGTAATCTTCTCGGTTTCCCCCGCTAGTACACTCGCGTACGTCCCTCTTTCTTCCTTGTTTTCCTGTTTTTTCATTTCATTTCTTAGCTTTTCGATCTCTTTGATGTTTTCTTCCAGTAGTTTTCCATGTTCCTCCAACTTCTTTATCAGTTTATTCTGTTCTTCTAATTGTCTTACTTTATGTTCATCTTCTTGTCTTTCTTCCTTTTTCTCCTGCTGATTTGACTTACTTTCTATTCCTATATTCTTTCCTGTCTCTGCTTCCTTGATTAACTGATAGAGCCTTTCAATGGCCTGCGTCACTTCATTCTTTATGTCCGTTTTCAAGTTTCGGGAATTATTTAGAAGTTTGGCTTTAGTGAGACAGGCACGGGCCTCCGTCAGACGGTCTGCGTATCTAGCAGTCTCTATCTTCGGTGAGCCTTCTGTTACCTGCTCTGGTACTTTGCGGGTTGCTCCCTTGCTCTCCTGTGATGCAGCAATTTTTGGTTTGGGGCGCACAGCCGGTGCCACCTTTTTAGGGTTGTTGTGTGTTGTGGCTACTGTGTCTGTTTTTCCCCCCGTCTCCCATTCTCCTATACTTCTCCTTACGCTGGTAACCAGCGTACTCTGATTACTTTTTGGAGAAGGTCCTGCCTTTTCTGTCCTAGTTGGTGAGCCTTGAGGGCTCATGTCTTTGGCACTGGTCTCTGTTTTTTTGACATATTTAGGGGGAACGCGTCTCAAATCACGGTAATAAAATTAAATTGTATAAAAAGTATTTAAAATGTAAATTTGTATAAGTTGTAAAAATAAATGTGAAAATATAAAAGCATAAAATTTAGCTGTATATTTTTGCAGTTCGACACGGCTGTCGTGCGTTTAAGTTAGGCCTCAGTCAGTTCTCCAACCATATAAAAAGCAAACAATTTTTTAAAGTATATAATAAAATAAAATTTTTGTAGAGTCTCGACTCTACTTCGTTATGTTCACCACAGTTTAAAGTGGCTCGGCGTCTATATTTTTATAAGTTTTTGACTGTCCAATTTTATGCAATATCGGCGTGACTCCAAGTAGAGTCCGGCTCTATCCAGAGTTCGGCTCTATCGAGAGCCCGGCTCCATCAAGAGTCTGGCTCTATCAAGAGTTCGGCTCCATCAAGAGTACGGCTCTATCAAAAGTCCGGCTCTATCAAGAGTCCGGCTCTATCAAGAGTTTATTTTGTCCGAGTCACTATACACGCTAATAAGTCTTATTCTAGTAATATAAAACTATAAAGAAAATCTTAAGGTCTAACTTATAAATTTAAAATTAATATACATAAACTCTATGTAGGGTCTATTTATGAGTACAGCTGTCAGTAGGAGTAATAAAAGAGTATAATAAAATAAAATGAAAGTAAAAATAAAAAATAAAAAATAATAAAATAAAAATTTTGCTTAAAGTTTTCTTGGCTCTACCAAGAGTCTCTTTTATTTAAGTTAGTCTATAACAGTTATTATTCTTATTCTACTGCTATTTAATTGTAATGAAAGTCGTTAAGTCTAATTTATAAAATTAAAACAATGTACATAGACTCTATGTAGAGTACGTCTATATGTAGACCGAAGGTCCGGCAATTATGAATAATTTTAGAAAAAACCCCGTCCGGATCAGTGCAGTTGTTGCTAAGCTATAGCAGTTTTAAAATTTTTCAACCCCCAGAGACTAAGTCAATATGTCAACTTAGGGGTAGGGGGGTTGAAATTCAGCCCAAATGATCCGGTGGGGGCCGAAGACTATCCGGCTTCTGGATAGTGTGGGGGTGGGGGGTGACGGGGGGGCGAAAGAAAATTTCGTCAAAAATGAGCTAGGAGGCTCCGTTTTCCTGTAAACTGAAAACACAGTTATTGTGCAGTTTTCAGGACCTCCCAGCTCTTACAATAAAATTTCTATCTCCGAAAGCGCTGCCTCAAAAATTCCGAAAAAAATAATGTATATAGCTAGGTAAAATGGCTATTATACACTAAATTTGAAAAATTTTTTGTCCTGAAAATTTTTTGAGTTTTTTAATTTTGAAAATTAACTTATAAAAACCAACAACCGCAAATAGCGTCTAATTCGAAAAATATCAATAGGAAAATTTTGAAAAAATTTGGGATACTTAGATTAAGTCTACACTATTTTATGGAATTTTTTCAGAATTTTCAGGAGCGCCTTCAGGATAACACGTGTTTACACTTAATGATAATAAAATTGCTTACTTTTCTAATTACGCTCCAAAAATTTAGTTTTTTGTCCTTTTGTAGGTCTTGAATTGCTTCAATATATGATCACAAAAACCACCGTGGTCGTCACTGAAATTTCAGAGATATTCGCATATAAAGCTTCTGCTGAAATTTTATTTCTTTAAAGTGTAATAACTTCTATATTTCTCAACCGATTTTGGTGATCGAGGTGTCAGGTGCTTTGCCTTGATGTTTTCTTTGATATTCCGTTGTCAGAATCAGCCGCAAGGTTTCCCAATCAAAAACCACGTGTCCACGTGGTTTTATATTTTGGTTAATAATTCCGTGCGCGAACTTCGTAAAAATCTGGTGATTGCTCAGGATGATGAAGCAAGTCAAGTCACTTATTACCACACTTTAAAAATACTATGTCATAGATTTCGTTTAAGCAGCGTTTGACTTTTAAGTTTTTTGAGGTTAGTAAAATCCGGTTTTTCCGTATTTATTCCGTGTTTTCCGCACTTTTCCACCTTTGTCATATATCACTGCATTCGTCTCAATGAGACGAATCTTTTGATGTAACACACTTTGCAATTTGGTCACTTTGACCCACAACTTTGAATTTTAATGCGCGGAGCGGTTTAAAAGTGCTGCGAACGGGTCAGCGTTTGGAGCGCAACTGGGTTAGGTTAGGTTAGGTTAGGTTAGGTTAGGTTAGGTTAGGTTAGGTTAGGTTAGGTTAGGTTAGGTTAGGTTATGTTAGGTTAGGTTAGGTTAGGTTAGGTTAGGTTAGGTTCCCGTGTGGAGTTGCCAGTCCTCCCATCGGGCGCGTCCCCAGGTGGCGGATAGGGGAATGCCACTCAGAAATGAGTGGTAGCGGGAAAACGTCGCGGACCAAAACTGGCTGGGTTTGGGCGTACCTGTGTTTTCGAATGGAATCATAGGTACGAGGTACTTTTGTTGCTTCCCGTATCCTCTCCATTGAGAGGAACAGAGAATGTGACATGCGCGGTGAGATGCCAGGTGCACTCAGCTTTTGCCGACGCCGGGCAGCGCGTCAGCGCGGGATTTTCAGGGACTACATCCTGAAAAAAGGAAATTGAATGGGCTCAAGGTTCCCTCACCCGGTCTCTGGGCAGGCATGGGAAGAACCTGTATCGACTCTGCCACCGTTCGAACCTCGGAATCCCTTTGGCGTGTCGTGGATCATGTCTCGCGGCGCCTGAGGGGCCGAGGGCTCTTGGCTTAACCGCCTGGAGTCGCGAGGATGATAACCTCTATAAAAAATCACCCGAAGCTCAAGCGTGGCACGCCGTGAGGAGCTGCATGGCTGATGGGTAAATGTTCAGTCGTTAGCGTTGCCCCCCGTCGGGGTACCGGCCGACACCCTTGACGGGTTATGCATAGGCTTATCCGGGCAAAGGGGGGCTCTGCTCGGATGGACCGTTACTTCCTCCACACTCGTGGGAAAAAAAAATGGAAAAATATAAAAATTATAAAACATCAGAAGGAGATAAGCAGGCTGGATCGGAATCAGATGCAAGCCTATGTAGCGATGTATCAAGGACAGCTTCTAAGTCTGGAGGTCGCTCCCGTGGGGCGAAAAAGAGACGTATTACAAAATCAATATCGTCCAGCGACAATGAAGCTTTTTTTAAAAGAGACGAATTCTGAGACAGGAAAAGAGGTGACACCATTAATGGATAATTCTGGAGAGTTCGTAGTGCCAGGGCCTGAGGAAGTTCTTAGTATGGCTGAGAGGCAAGTGGAACAAATGGTTTGTGCTGCAAATCAAAAAACGAACTGCCCTGGGGCTACCTAATTTAGTCGGAGATGACAGCCGTTCGGCAATGGCTCTCAACCAACAGGTTCTCGACGATGTCGGAGTCATACTGATGGTAGCAGCCAAGTCGAGAAATCTGAAAGGCACATTTCAACGTGCCTTAAAGGATGCTGCCACGTCAATAAAAACAGTCGTGGAGGTCCTACATAAGAGGTCAGTGAATGAAGAAACGGCGAAATTGCAGGCTGAAAACACCTGCCTGCGCAGTGAAATAGAGGAGCTTCGTAAAGAGCTATCTGAAATCCGGCTTGAAATGGCGAGGATCAACAAAACACCTGCTCCACCAACTCCTCGGGTGCGAGGAGACAAGGAAAGTGAGGAATTGATAAGTTCCATTATGCGCCAAGTTGGTGACATGATGAATGCGCGATTGGAGGCGCTTGAGGAGCGGCTTCTCCCAGAAAAGCGTGTCCGCCCTCCGCTGGCTGCTGATGTGCGCAGAGATGTAGTAAATGATGCAGACATACTACGGCGGAAGTCTGATACAATTACGAAGGCTGACAAATACGCCGTAAAAACAAGAATTGGCAACAAGAAAATTCCGGCGCTGGAAATACAAAGAGGAAACAGAAAGGGAAAGGGACACGAAGGGAGAACAACAGAAATGGCAACCAACCAGCCAACAGAATCACGCCCTCAACCTCCTGAGTCCACGGAAGAAGGATGGACCACAGTAGTGAGAAGAGGTAAAAAAACGCAAGGCAGGAACCGTCAATCCTTCCAAGAGACCAGCATCTGTGAAACTGCGCTCCCCAAAATCCGCGGCTGTAGTTATAACACTGCAGCCCGGAGCTGAAGATCGTGGCCTCACTTATGCAAAGGTGCTGACAGAGGCTAGAAAGAAGATCGACCTTGCTAGCAAGGTAGCAAGGTCCTTGGTAGCAAGGAGGCTAGCCTCGGTATCGAATCTCTGCGGTACCGACAGGCGGCCACTGGAGCCCGCATTTTAGAGATTCCAGGAGCAACGAGCGGCGATAAAGCTGACTCCTTGGCTAAGATATTAAAGGAGTCGTTGCCTGAGGAGGTGGCTAGAGTATCTAGACCAACGAAATGTGCAGAGATGCGCATCTCTGGCCTGGACGACTCTATAACTACAGAGGAAGTTGTTGCTGCCATTGCACAGCAAGGGGAATGTCCTGCAGAAATGGTGAAAGTAGGCGAAATCCGCAGTACAAGCTCTGGCACTGGTATTATCTGGGTGAGCTGCCCGGTACCTGCAGCCAAGAAAGTTGAAGGGGGCGGGCGTCTTTTGAGCGGATGGGTGGCAGCACAGGTGAAAATATTGCCACATAGACCATTACGGTGCTATAAGTGTCTGCATAGTGGACATGTGCGCGCGCAGTGCACTTCAGATGTGGACCGTAGTAATGACTGCTACCGATGTGGCCAGACTGGCCATAAGTCAGCGAAGTGCACGGCTGCGCCAAAATGTTCCCTGTGTATTGCAGCAAACAGGCCGGCTGACCACGTACTGGGGAGCAAGAGGTGCTCGCCTCCAAAACAAAGAAGAAAGGGCGTTATAGTGGGTGAAAGGACCCCGCCTACGCAACCTCAAATGGAGGAGGCGATGGCAGTCCAGTAACATGATGGCTGATAATTGTAATTATCGTCTCCTTCAGGCCAACATCAACCACTGTGCCGGCGCACAGGATTTGCTTTTGCAGAGCATGGCACAGTGGATGATTGATATAGCGGTGGTCGGCGAGCCATACTTCGTCGCTTCCAGGAACAACTGGGTAGGTGACATCGATGGCTTAGTGGCCATCATATCGTCGACGGCTGCAGGCGTCCCACCTTCCACAATAGTTGCGAGAGGTAAGGGATATGTGGCGATTCTGTGGAGGGAAATAATTCTCATTGGGGTATACTTCTCTCCAAATAGATGCCTTGCCGAATTTGAGACATTCTTGAGCGATTTGGGGGCTCTTATTGGGCAAAACCTACCTCGCCCAGTACTTGTCATGGGAGACCTTAACGCTAAATCTACTGTCTGGGAGCATGCTCAGACGAATAATCGGGAGCTATCTCTCTGAGCGATGTGTCTGCTATCCTGGGCGGGAAGGCAGGATATTAAGGAGAGTAATGTCGTGCGGCGTTCCACAAGGCTCGGTTTTAGGACCGCTTCTTTGGAACGTCGGTTATGACTGGGTGTTGCGGGGAGACCTTCCCCCGGGTGCTGGCATAATCTGCTATGCAGACGATACTCTGGTCACTGCCCGGGCGGAGACCTATGAGGTAGCCGTTCGTATTGCCACTACGTCAGTGGCACTGGTTGTTGGCAGAATTAGGATGTTGGGGCTGGAAGTGGCGTTAAGCAAGTCCCAGGCCATCTGCTTTCACAGGCCTCGAAAAGCACCGCCACAGGGATCCCACATCATTGTCAGTGATGTCCGTATTCAGGTTGGGTCCAATATGAGGTACCTTAGACTCATCCTGGATAGCCGTTGGAGCTTCCGCGAGCACTTTAGGTGCTTGGCCCCCCGGCTAATGAGAGCAACAGCTGCCTTAAAAAGGTTGCTACCCAATGTCGGAGGGCCCGATGCGAATTGCCGCCGTCTCTATTTGGGGGTGGTTCGGTCCATGGCTTTATATGGGGCTCCTAATATGGGCTGGGGCTC